TAATGTGCTATACTGTATTATACTAGGATATAATGTGCTATATTGTACTATACTGGGCTATACTGTACAATAGGGTACTATACTGGAATATACTGTGTTTATACTGTACTATACTGGGATATACTGTGCAATAGGGTACTATACTGGACTATACTGTACTATACTGGACTATACTGTGTTATACTGGACTATACTGGACTATACTGGACTATACTGTGTTATACTGGACTATACTGTACTATACTGGACTATACTGTGTTATACTGGACTATACTGTGCAATAGGGTACTATACTGGACTCTACTGTGTTATACTGTACTATACTGGACTATACTGTATTATACTGGACTATACTGTGCAATAGGGTACTATACTGGACTATACTGTGTTATACTGTACTATATTGGGCTATACTGTGCAATAGGGTACTATACTGTGCTATACTGTACTATGCTGGGCTATACTGTACAATAAGTACTTTACTGTACTATGCTTGGCTATATTGTGCTACACTGGGCTATAATGTGCTATACTGTACTATACTAGGATATACTGTGCTATAACAGGCTATACCAGGCTATATTGTGCTATACTGGACTATAGTGTACTATACTGTACTGTACTGGGCTACACTGTGCTATATGGTACCATACTGCTGTATACTGTTCTACACTGTACTGTAGAGGGCTATACTGGGATATACTGTACAATATTGGCTATACTGTACAATACTGGGCTATACTGTACTGGGCTATACTTGGCTATACTGTACTATAGAGGGCTATACTAGGCTATACTGCACTATATTGTGCTACAATGAGCTATGATGTTCTATCCTGTACTATACTAGGATACAGTATACTGTGCCATAATAGGCTATACTGGGCTATAGTGTATTATACTGCACTGTACTGGGCTATACTGTTCTATATCTCTATATGGTACTATACTTTGCTTTACTATGGAGAACTGTGGATTGCTGCCCCCCCCCCATCCCTAAGTGCAGCAATCAGATGCCTTGTTGCTAAGACATTGCTAAGACACTCCCAGCTGTTACTCTGGGGTGGTTGGGGGGGGGGGGGAGTTGATTTGGAGAAAGAGCTCACTCCTGTGATGGTGGGGGTAAGTTATACCAGCTGAGAGCGTCTTAACAACATCCTAGCAACAAGGCAGTAAAGGGGTTGCCATCTCTGGGAGATTTTCAGCCAGGCTTCTGAAAGGTATCTGAATAGCTTACCCCTAAAGTAAGGGCATTATCCAGCTTTAGTCCAAGTTGCAGTTTGTTTTTATCTACAGACTCTCCTTACCTGCAGTTTTTTTCATAGAGGTGAACTAACCCCTTTAGGTATTTACTGCCATCAAGTTCATTTCCACTTTAATTTTAGCAACTAGCAAATTTTAGGGGGAAAAAAAGTCATTTCAATGGCTTCAAGGGGCTCAAACTACATGTGGAGATAAAGGCATCAGGATGACTTGGTCAGGGCTTTGCAAAAAAAAAAAAAAAAAAGCTTTTTTAATGGTTAAATTGGGACACTCGGTTTTGCCGGTAACTTATTCTCTATGGGGGCCAGTAACATGCATTACCTCTGACCGGCCCCTTAAAAAAATATTTTTTTAACTTTTTCACCTCATGTGAATTTATTGCTTTTGGGAATACTACACCATCAAGACACCCATATCATTCCTCTCTTTTCCGTGTGTATGAATGTCACACCTTTCTGAAAATTCCATCATTACTGCAAAATAGATGGTTGGAGATGAATGGCTGTACAGAGTCTTTTGTCACATATATCTTTAACAAGAAATGTCAGCTGTAAAGGTCTTCTTCTATTTCACTAAGATGTCAACCAAAAAACCATTACACTCCACATCATCTCTATATTCATAACCAACCAGGTGTTTTTGGTGCTTTCGGGACAGAAAGTATCCAATATGTCATTCCAACACCTATCCTAAATAGGTGATATGGGATGGATTGAGACATATGAAGACCTTCTGTTCTAAGAAAGGTTTACTGTTCTTTGAAGGGCTTTTTGATTCCTTTTGTCCCTTCCCACCATAGCCTGTCTTGTTGGGTCCCAAACTCCTCTCCATGGAAGACACGGTTTCCATATTGATGAAGGCCAAGAAGCTTGAAACAACTGTATGCAGTCTGTGCTATGAACTGATATAGATGGAGAGATTTTTATTCCTTTAGTTCCTTTCCACCCTAAACCATACGGTTATAATGGCTCGTTGGGTCTCAAGCTCTTTGCTGTAGAAGACGTGGTTTCCATAATGATGAAGGCCAAGAAGCTTGAAACAACTGTATGCAGTCTGTGCTATGAACTGATATAGATGGAGAACTTTTTATTCCTTTAGTCCCTTTCCACCCTAAACCATATGGTTATAATGGCTTGTTGGGTCTCAAGCTCTTTGCCGTAGAAGACGTGGTTTCCATGATAATGAAGGCCAAGAAGCTTGAAACAACTGTATGCAGTCTGTGCTATGAACTGATATAGATAGAGAGATTTTTATTCCTTTAGTCCCTTTCCACCCTAAATCATACAGTTATAATGGCTTGTTGGTCTCAAGCTCCTTGCCGTAGAAGACCTAGTTTCCATAATGATGAAGGCCAAGAAGCTTGAAACAACTGTATGCAGTCTGTGCTATGAACTGATATAGATGGAGAGATTTTTATTCCTTTAGTCCCTTTCCACCCTAAACCATATGGCTATAATGGCTCGTTGGGTCTCAAGCTCTTTGCTGTAGAAGACATGGTTTCTATAACGATGAAGGCCAAGAAACCTGAACCAGCTGTATTCAGCCTGTGCTATGAACAGATATGGATGGAGGGCTTTTTATTCCTTCAATCCTTTTCCACCCTAACCTATATGGTTATATTGTCTTGTTGGGTAATTTTATGTAAGGTCACCTTGGTATTTGGGGAGTCGCCTGTTTATTTATTTAGACATTTCAAAGGGTATGGTAATTAGACTCCAAGGGGTATTCATGGTGAAAGGGTGACTTGTGTACCTGGTAAACACTATAGTGACCTTAATTGTTATTTACAGTAATGGCAAATTAAGTATTTTTTATGTAAGATCAAAAGTGTTTTGTTAGCCAATCAGAAACCCCTCCAGTAAACTGTGTATAAAGCGAAGTTTTTTTTTTTGGTTGGGAGAGAGCTTCTTCCTTTAATTAATATGGAAGCACAGGTATAGATCATAAACTCGCATTATTGCATGCATGGAAACTACCTAGGTGCACATTATAGATTTGAGATTTGCTTGATGTTGTAGTACCTCCCTGTTTGAAATGAAGTATCTTAAATGGGACCAGGGGCGGACTGACCATTTGGAAACTCAGGCACTGCCCGAGGGCCCGGGGTCAATAGGGGGCCCCATGAGATGCCCCTGGTACCTTTTTCATAGGCTTTTTTGAGTTTGGGCAAGGACACAGGGGCCCCATGATCCACTATTGCCTGGGGGCCCCAGGATTTGTCCCCTGAATGGGGCTGTCATTCATTGTAATATGTACAAGTATTCAGCTGAATTTTCGTCATCTGTTGCAAATAACTTTATCGGAAAAAATGCATCTCTCTGGAAAAGAACTGTTGGACTAGTTGCTGCGGGAAAATACATTTATAAATCTACACTCATCTATCCTCTTCATGAGATAAGACACCAGTATGCCATTTGGAAAAAAATGTCTCTGCAGTATAATATTAGGCAACATTTGTACTATACAGACAAGGATTTAGAGGTGCATCTGGACAATGGGGGTGTAAAGGAATAATGGGGTCCGAAGCCCTGCTCCCTGAAGGCCATGGGTTGTGTATGCTGCACTGTTGATGACCACAAAGCCTGAAACACTGAATGAAGTTTGAATTAAATGACTGTGTAATATCAGCTACATGTGCATTGCAGATGGAGGTGCTTCTGGTCAATGGGCTGAAAGGAATGATTTTCATGGCTCTGTCCACTGTCCTGAAATGAGGAATTTTAAATATATGATGGAACAGGACATGGGAATATCTTCTCTTTTAAGATAGTTTTACATACGGTATCTATGCACTGATCCGGTTCGAGGAATTTGAATTCCTTTAGTTCCTTCTCCCCAAAACCTGTATGGGTATACAGTCTTGTTGAGTCCCAAGCCCTATTTAATAGAAGCCATGGTTTTCACACACTGCACTGATGATGGGTGAAAAAGCATGAAATAGCTGTATGTAGTTTGGAATAAATGGCTTTACAACATTAGGCTATATTCTGAATACACATCTTGGTGAAGGGACATATAGGAATTGTTTTCATGGCCCGTCCCACTGTCCTAAAATAAGGAATGATTCTCTTATTTTTTGGATATGTTATGGAATAAGACATGTGGATACCTTCTGTTCTGTCCATTTGGAGGGTTTTCGACTCCTTTAGTCCTTTCTCACCATAACCTGTGGTATACTGTCTCCTTGAGCCACAAGTCCTACTCCATAGAAGCCATGGTTTCCATACACTTCACTGATGATGGCCAGAAAGCCTGAATCAGTTTTATGCAATTTGATTGGGATATTGGTAGGCTTCCTCAGATAAACTGGCTGCTTCTGGTCCTTCCACAACATTTCTACAGGACTGAAGTCAGAACTTTGATTTTGCCACACCAACCATAACTTTCTCCTGTTTAACAATTCTCTGGTAGGTCAACTTGTGTGTTTAAGTTTGTTGTTATGCAGCATGACCTACTCCCTCTTAAACTTAAGTTTAGGGACAGACTGACATTTTCCAGAAGAATTTCAGGGCTCCATCAATGATAGCAAGCTGTCCAAGTGCAGAGGCACCAGAGCAAACCTAAACTATGTAATGCAATCCGCAATATTTTACAGATGGGAAACAACTCTTATGCTGGTATGCCGTTGCCTTTGCCCAAGGTACGCGGTTGCCTTTGCCCAAACATATTGTAATTTCAGGTCAAACTTCCCATTTAAGATAACAGGCACCATAAGAGAAAAAGTGGGACATGAGCAGGGGCGGACTGACAACTCATGGGGCCCCCGGGCAATAGGGGATCATGGGGCCCCTGTGTCCTTGCCCAAACTCAAAAATGCCTATGAAAAAGGTACCAGGGGCATCTGATGGGGCCCCCTACTGACCCCGGGCCCTCGGGCAGTGCCCGAGTTTCCAAATGGTCAGTCCACCCCTGGACATGAGTGTCTGCAGGATAGCAGAAGATCACCTTGAACCCAGAGAAATAATGAAAAACATCCTTGTGCAGGAGTGGAAAAGCCAAGAAGTGGTAAATGGGTCAACAGCTGGATCATATTGATACAAGGCGTCAGTGGGCACTTTTTGGATTAGAAACCCCATCTAAACCATTTAGCTTTCTGGACTTTGGGTGTGTCACATATAAGGAAGCAAGAGGAGGAGCACAAGGAGTTGGAGGAACCTCCAATGTATTAGCAAGAGATGAGTTTTTCTTTTGCTTTCACACAAAGGACAACATAATTATGAGTCACCTCCCATCAAGGAGCAGAAAAACTGCTCCTTGATTGGAGGTAAGACTGTTAGCATTGTCCTTTGTGAGGAACACAGGACATTGTATGATCAATGGTGTGGACACATGGCTCTCTCTATCTCTCTAACACCTCCAAAGATACTTGCAACTTGTTCCATTGTGCTCTCACTACCTTGTATGACTGTTTTTTTTAAATCTGTTCCACGGTAAAGCTAGAACCCATTCTAGAGGAACCTACTTGGGCTCTGTTTATTCCATGCCAATGGGGAATTACTCTTGGGCATGGATCTATATGTTGGGTAGGTGTAGTGTGGTGCGGCTGAAATAAACACACAGAGGCCCGGAAGGCAGTAATTGTATGAAGAACTTGCAACCAGTCCAACGGTCAGGTTGGGGGAGTCAGAGTAATAAACCCAAACTGAAGATAGCACTTTCCAAGGGAGGAGCAATGTGTCCTGGCCTGTCCAACCCAAGAGGGAGCATGTGGAAGTGCAGATGTAGGACCTAAGCTTTCCCTACTCCTTTGCAACCTTTCCCTGCTGCTAGTGCTTTCCCTTACAGATGGGTATGTTCTCCCTACCCTAACCTACTACGCAAAAGCAAGCCAAAACCTTGAGGCAAGGACTTCAAAAGACTCTGTATGACCCAAGATGGCCACCAGGGTCACCTAGATGTAGCGAAGCCAACTGGAATGCTGCTCCATGGAACTGAGGGAACCATAGAGAACCCACATTTCTCTTGACTTCCCCTCCAGCTGCAGTACCGTTCTGGATGACAGTGGAGACCTACAGTGGAAAAAATAGACTGCACCTACCTACATGTGTGTGTGGGAAAAGAGCAGGACTGTCTGCAAGTGTAAGCGGGTGGTTATGTGGACTCAAGTTCTGATTATTATTATTATTCAGGATTTATACAGTGCCAATAGTTTATGCAGTGCTTTACAATATAAAGGGGGCAGTACGATTACAATATAGTTCAATACAGAAGGAATAGGAGGGCCCTGCTCATGGAGCTTACAATCTACAGGGAGGGGGATGTGGTATAAAAGGTAATAGCTTCAGGGGATGATCTGATGGAGGTGACAGTTCTTAGGTGGAGGTGGGGTAGGCTTCCCTAAATAAATTAGTTTTTAAGGATTGCCTAAAGGTGGATGGGGTAGGAGCTGATTGGACATACTGGGGCAGGGAGTTCCAGAGGATGAGAGAGGCTCTGGAGAAGTTCTGGAGGCAAGCGTGGGAGGAGATAACAAGGGAACTGGAGAGCAGAATGTCTTTGGAGGAGAGGACAGTTTGGGTGATATCTGTAGATGAGGTTGATGATATAGCTTGGGGCAATGTTATGGATTGCTTTGTGGTTAGTATTTTGAATTTTATACATTGGGCTAGTGGAAGAAATTGGAAGACAGGGGCAGCAGCCATGGATTGGTTAGTAAAGTGTATTAGTCTAGCAGTAGCATTCATAATAGATTGAAGGGGGGATAGCCTGTGTAGGGGTAGGCCAGTGAGGCAGGGAACCACAAGCCAGGCTGGACCTCTCCCAGTGCTTCCAGGGGTGACTTCTGCGTTACTGCCCTGTAGTTGCAGAGTCTCGGGAAGGGGGGTAGGGGCATACAAAGGAACCACAGGGAAAGCCCAGATCAAGTTCTGAAAGAGTTATCATTCCTACAAGAGCCCATTACATAACAGTGATAGTGCAGAATAGTGGTCATCAACAGGCCAGGTTCCATATTGAATGGGCTGGGAAGCACAGGATCTAGTTGACGGTTGGTAAATCGTAGAAGAGCCGAGTTCAACTTGGGCAAAATTAACATTTGTAGATGTCCCCATCCCCACTTTTTTGAGATCAGACTGCTCGTCTGGAAGTCCTCTGTACAATAATGATTAGTAAAACTACGTGAAGTCCATGTCAAAAGTACATGACATTCTTCCAGAAAAAACACATCGTAGCCGTAGTCTGTTCTACTTTTCATAACATATGGGATAATGGTTTTCCGAACGACAGATTCCATACCTGTAATTCCATTTGATCTGTATCAGGCTACCTTATGAAGGGCCCCATTGTGCTAAAGTCCTGTTTGACCAATAAACTCGGATTGTGTTCTTAGTTTAATGAACTGAGTGATTTGGAATTCTTTCTGCTAGGGACTGAGCAATATGGGAATTATAAATGTAATTTTTAGAGCTTATAAAAATGTAGACCTTCTGTCTAAAGTAAATGCCCTTTTGTGAAATGATGCCTCTGTTTGGTAATATTGTGCAGTTGGTCCTTGAAGGAGGGTGAGAATGAGGAGATGTGGGGCCGTCATTCTCCGAGTGGCAGGTGCTGGGCATTAAGAGAACAGTGGAAAATTGTTGCTGACTTATTGGGTGGTCTATTGGAAATGGTAGACTGTAGTTTAAAATGGCATATTTATGTTTTCTAGGAGGCACAGTACTTTGACAGGTCAGGGGGGATAGGGTGGAGTGGGGGGCTGTATCACTTTGCCCTGCATGAGTTGGGTGGTTCAATTAGTGAATTAAAGAATTTGGCATTTTTTTTATAAATAAATGGTTAGGTTTCACTGTTTACTTGAACTTTGCAATGCATATTTCTTTTTCACATAACAGATTAATGTGCATTAATTAACATTAAGATTATACGGTCTGTGAACAAAATTTTTTTTGCAGCATCACATATTTTTTCTCCTTATGAATTAATTTATTCTACGTGTTTTTTTTTTTTAATGGCATTGGTGATACATTTGATTTCAGTCATCGTATTTATTAAATTGTAATTCTGACCAATTATTTTTTTTAAAAGTCATTTTATTCAAAGAATTTTTTTTTTTTTTTTTTGTGGAGCCTTATGTATTTTTCCTACTTTAGGGTTACCTCATAGGAGCCGCTGTAAAGGATGGGCCCCCTGTTCTTTGCCACAACCTATAGGCAGGTGCAGTATGACCTCCTTGTGTAGGTGGCGCTATTGCAGCTGCTCCACAGGGAGAGTGGAGGAAGGGCCTCTGGGCCTTTGGGCGTCTGTACGTGTCATTGGGTCTGCTGCTGGCCGATTGGACGCTGCCCAGGGGCGGACTGGGCCCTAGGGTAATAGGGGATAATGGGGCCCCTGTGTCCTTGCCCAAACTCAAAAAAGCCTATGAAAAAGGTACCAGGGGCATCTCATGGGGCCCCCTACTGATGCTGGGCCCTCAATAGGGGATCATGGGGCCCCTGTGTCCTTGCCCAAACTCAAAAAAGCCTATGAAAAAGGTACCAGGGGCATCTCATGGAGCCCCCTACTGATTCCGGGCCCTCGGGCAGTGCCCGAGTTTCCAAATGGTCAGTCCTCCCCTGACACTACCACCCAAATAACCCCTGCGGCTATGTTTATCAAAAAGCACTGGATCACTGCAGTTGGTGCGCATTATGCCTGTGGCTAGGTTAGGGACAGGAACCCGCTTGACAGGGAGAGTGTGCCTAGCATAGGGAGAGGTTCTAGAGGAAGAGGGACAGAATAGGGGCCGTCGTTAGAGCTCCTTTCCTCTACTAGTTCTTCCTGCATCTGCCTTCCAACTGGTACCTGCACCAGGTGCCGCCGGTGTCTCTGCATCACTCTCTACAAGTACTGTGCAACCTTCTATGAGTGTTGCTGCCAGTTCTAAGCCACTGGATTGACCTTGATACTGTACGTGGGAGTGTTTTTGACAATACGATTCCTGCAATTTCAACCACTCTGTGTGCCATTCATACGCATCTGGGTGCCTTCCACCTGAGCTCCTACAGCCTACAGACCTCCTCAAGAACCTAAGCCTCTCTGACCAGGTTGACCGTACAAAGATACAAAAAATGGCCGCTGCCCCAGTCTATAGCTGGCCTTCACAGCAAAGAGCACATGAAAGGGTGACCCATGTCAACCAACAAAAGAGAAAAATTCCGGGCTCAACTTGCCAGCCAGTCTGCAAACAAACCGAATTAACCTGTCTAACAGTATGCATTAAAAAGAGGGGTTTAGTTAGCACACATTTGCAAATGCATGCATAAGCTACAGAGCCATGCCAGGGCACCCTGATATTCTGTAGTTCCTAACTCTACAAATTGTGAGAGCCCCCATAGTAGAGGCACATGCATTTAATGGATAGACCAAGGGCAGTTGGACCTGAGGGAGCCCACCCCTCCTTAAAGGTACAGGCGCGCAATGGGCACCCAGCATGTAGCACAATGGCAGCTAAGGTGTCCAGTGCGCCCCCTCGACCAACAATTCAACAATACCAAAAAATGGCCACTGCCCCAGTCTATAACTGGCAACCCGAATTAACCTGTCTAACAGTATGCGTTAAAAACAGGGGTTTAGTTAGCACACATTTGCAAATGCATGCATAAGCTACAGAGCCACGTCAGGACACCCTGATATTCTGTAGTTCCTAACTCTACAGATTTTGAGAGCCCCCATAGTAGAGGCACATGTATTTAATGGATAGACCAAGGTCAGGTGGACCTGAGGGAGCCCACCCCTCCTTAAAGGTACAGGAGTGCACTGGACACCAAGCATGTAGCACAATGACAGCTAAGGTGTCCAGTGCACCCCCTCGATCAAAAGTTCAACAATACAAAAAATGGCCACTGACCCAGTCTAGAACTGGCAAAGCAAAGTAACCTGAACAGCATGCGTTAAAAACAGGGTGTCACGATCGCGGAGTCAGACCCCAGACCTTCGTACCAAACTCGTGACCGAAGGACTA